GGCGGCGGCGGCGGCAGGACTGGGGCGGCGGCGTCATCGTGGGCGACGACATGGCGGAGCGGGCTCAGGCAGGGAGGGGCTACGGCCATGCTGGCGCCGCCATGTTCGAGGGGTGCGAGGTCGCGGGGGGAGGAGGCGGCGGCAGAGATGTCGAGGTTTTGGGCCGGGCTCGAGTGGCAGAAGCCGCCCTCTGCAGACGGTTAGCGGCGCGCTTGTTTTTCTCGCAGCAGGCGGCGCCCGCGTGTCGCGCAGCACGTACGGCGGTGTTGCGGGAGCTGCACGGCGTCGCAGAGGCCGGGCAGGACGGGGACGGGGAGCTGCAGCCGCTCAGCGTGTCGGTCGAGCTGTCGCAGCGGGCGGGTGTCGTCGTCGGAGCATGGCTGGCCGTGAGAGGCTTGCGCCGCGCCTAAGCTGCCTGCCCGCGCACGGGCCTCTTGGCTGCCAGCCTCGCCCTCGCCACCGCCCTCGCCATCGCCATCGCCATCGCCATCGCCCGCCCACCACGCCTCGTCCAGCGCCAGCAGCGAGCCGCCAGACAGCGGCCAGCTCGCCCCAGTCCATGCCATTGCGGGTGCTGCGGGTGCACTGCGGTCAGAGTCCGGAGCGAAGACGGGATCCACGACGGTGGCCAGCGAGCCGTTGCGCTGCTCGAGAGACGAGACGCAAGAGAGGGACCAGGAAACAGCCCGACGCCATCTGCTCGTCGAGAGAGCGGCCGAGACCCCGTTGAGCCATCAGAAGAAACGGCCAGGAAACAGTGAGCCAGGACAGAGCAGCATTGCCTCGAGCCACGCCCCCTCGCACGCCCCGCCGCCGTCCCGTTGACCAGCGCCACAGCCAACCAACACGGCCCCTTCACTCAGCACCCACACTCCCACGCCAACCGCCGCTGCCCTGATGCCGCCCAAGAAGAAAGCCCACCCGGCCGCCGCCGCCAGATGCGCCCCATCGCCTCAGTCCCTGCACAAGCCGCCCAACTGGCCGGCCTTCACCCCTCTCGTCCCAGAGGCAGACCTCGCGCTGCACCAAGTGCTGCCAAGCCAGATTGTCACCATCCCAAACTTCTGGACCGCCTCGCTGTCCAGGACATATGTCGCCTTTCTCTCTTCGCTGCCCTTGACTACCACGCCCGGAAAGCCCAGAAAAGGCGAGGCCGTGCGAGTGAATGACCGCTTCCAGATTGACGACCCTGCATTTGCCGAGCGACTGTGGAGCGAGACTGCCTTGAAGAATCTCGTCACCGGTGCTGCTGAGGGGGGGTCCCTGGGCCTCAACGAGAAGCAGCGGAACGACTTGTGGGGCGGCGACGTCGTCGGCCTCAACCCCAACATCCGCATCTACCGCTATACCAAGGGGCAGTTCTTTGACCAGCACTGTATGTCGCTGCAGCCACTGCATGGCTCGCCACGTAAATGTCGAATCCGGCAACGCACGCTAACCACTGCAGACGACGATTCCAACAGTGTCACCATACCCGGGTCGCCGCCGGTACACGCGCGCACGACCTGGACCTTGCTCCTCTACCTCACCTCTCCCGCAACAGGATGCATTGGTGGGGAAACCGTCTTTTATCCCGATCCGCCCAAGAAGAAGAGCAAAGATGCACCGCCCGAGCCCTTGGAAATTGGGCTCCAAGTCGGCATGGCTCTGCTGCACCGCCACGGCGCAGACTGTATGCTGCACGAAGGGCGCGAAGTCACCGACGGCGAAAAATGGGTCATCAGAAGCGACCTGTGCGTCAAGCGCTGACCCCAATCCATGTCACCATGTTTCGGCAAAATCTTTCATTTGGATTTCAAGCAGTGTCTGGCTTTCCTAGGCTGTTCTGCATGGCTACCTACATTCATCCAGCGTTTTCATCTTCGCACGTATACTTGATATCCCCTCCATCTCCGCCACATTCAGGACTGGCACACACCTGACTATCGCCCATCGAACCATGGTGCCTGCCGCACACAGTATGATACCAACCGCACCGCGTAGTCAGGCCATTTTCTCTCATGTCTTCAGCCGTGTCCCTTGTGTCAAACACCCTGACAGTCTGAGCATCTTTGGAAGCCTTTTGACAGTGGTGGCATTTGGTCCTTTTGGAATGCTTGCCGCGATTGTAATGCTCACACACGTCACAGATCCACCCCTTCTCTGCGGCATGGAATATTTCCCGTGCAGCACTCCGCTGTTGCGCCGTGTTGTTGCTCGCTGCGATCGCTTCGGGGCTGGCGCGGTTCAGGTGAGGCTCTCGTGGTCCTTCGCGCGCAGAAGACGTAAAACATCCCATACCGAAGAACATGTCAACGAACCATCTAGCTGGCAAGCGGACAGCATATCTACCCCCAAGTGTGCTTGCTGCATGGAGGCTGATTGCTGGATGGATCATTCATGACTGCACGTGGAGTCACTGATGATTTCCATGCCACTCACCAAGTGACTCTTCATCATCCAGGCAATGTTTGTAGCAGTCATGCCGCTGATTGCTTGTGGCTCATCATGTGGCCAGCGCAGTCTATGCCCATTTACACCTACGAAGCACAAGTTTTCTGATATCAATTTGAGCAGCCTGCCCCTTGACAAGTCGGATCCATGTCTCTCATCCCGTTAGCAAGTAATTCAGGTGAACCAGCTTACTGCATTCAATGCTCTGTTGCTGTAGGATCCATCTGTTCCTGCAAGTTGAAATGGAGCTTTTCAAGTTAAGTCTTTATTACGAGATTGAGAAATCTTGCTATACTTCTACACAAGTCATCGAAAGAGTCCGTGTCCACAAGCATAATGTCGACCATACAAGGGCTCTTGCCGATCTCACAGAATCTCTCTACAAGATTCTTGATTTCAGTCTGTTCACCACGCTAGATTTCTCAATCCGGACCAAATGCGCAAGGCTGACACTTGACCGGACTCGTATGAAAGCGGTAATTGCATCAACATCGGAATAAGCATGCAACTATCCGAGCCATGGCATCACAGTCGGCTAAATCGACCCTATCAACGCATATGGTCATGTCGCACAGCTTCTGTGTACCAAGCACAGCCTTGTACTCGTGCGAACAGAAGTTTTGCTCAAGTACCAAGGTTCCCTGGGTTTCTGGGCAATTCTCAACTGCATCCCTATACCACTCATCATCAACTTCACCATGCTAGAAAAAGCGCTTGAACACAACTCAGTGAAGAGAAAGAAACCAGGTATAACCTTTGCATGGAGAACTCACCCAGGTGGCTACCCCATGCTAGCCGAGCGCATCGCTGTCAAACCACAGACGGCCATCAGGGAGGCTGTGAGGCACACCTACTTGAGTAGCGCCTTGGCGTGGAAGTGTCGGATACGGGCTTTTCGGCCTTATTGAGCGGAGTCCCCCCCCCCCCAGATACCTACACTTTCGGCATTCATACTTAAAGGGAAGGGAAGCCCGAATGACTAGTATTGGCGCCTTCAGCGGAACATGTTTGCTATGGCTCTATGAAATCGTGGGGGGAATGTGCTTCTCAACACCGACAATAGCCTGCACATGTGGACGCGGCGAAAGCATGCAGCGTGGTCATTTGACAGGTGTTTCGTGATCAGTCCCTACAAACACGACCTGAACAGCAGCAAAACTACAAGTCGTCAGCACACGTCGAGACAGCTAAGAAGCATACTTACGCAGCAGTAACAGCAAACGCTTCAGAGCGTTTGGCGTCTGTCAAAACACTCAAACAGACGCTCGTCAGGATGTTGAACGCGGCAATGACCCAGAGCTTCGTTTTGAGCGACTGTAAGTTTACTAGGACCAAGATCGAGGCAATGGGAAGCAGCGACGCCAGAATACACGTTATCCACGATGTCACTTTTAAAACGGTCGAGTCGTAGTACACTTTTTTGCTCAGGTTCCTATCACCCTTTGTGAGTCGCCCGAGACCACATTTGAATAAGTGTATCGCGTTCTCTGAAATGAAGTGGGAGAAGTCATCTTCTTTTTTACGTGGGTGTATGCCAATTAGATCCGGTGCGTGGTTCTCGGTATCATCGCAAGTGCCCCAGGTATGTCGGTCGACGCCCTGGAGGAAACCTGGCTCTATGACATCGCTTTCCAGAAAGTGTTGGATGTCGCTGAGGTCGAATTTATCGGGTGGTTGGAGCTGATGTAGGACGGAAATTTGTATGAGTGCCTTGTCTGGATTCGCACAGCTTGTCAGCCATGCGTTTCTTAGACCTGTTGACTAGAGGACCATTGCTCACTGTACTCGTTCAATTTCCTGTGCATCTTTCTGATCAGCACCAATTGCTCTTTTCCCTGGCTCTTCTGTGTTTCCAACATGCGCTGGTAGTCGACTGCATATCCTAGGCGCCCTTCCTTGTCTTTTTCTTTATCCTTGTGTTCCATAACCCGCAACTGCTTCTCTAAGATGCACAGTTCAGCTTGGAGATACAGTATATGACGTGCATTGAGGGCGTCGAATCGACGATAGATGCCAATGCCACGCGAGGACCTCACATCTGCTCCATTTCAGCACCTATCATCGTCTTGCGCATGTCAGAAGGTTATCTCGCTTATGTGTTGGAAGGCCATACGGTGAGAAATACTAACTGAAACTATAAACATCCGGGCTCTCTACCCAAACGCAACTGGATGGAAAGCTACAACCACTTCTCCACCAGCACGAAAGTGTTTAGCACTACCACATTTTTCATTACCAAGCTCCTTGGACGGGCTTTACCCCAACCGTGCACAAGGTGGCGGTGGGAGACTTGGACCACAGGAAACTCCAAGAAACCCCGCAATCTCGCCAGTCCGCCGAGAAATGCTGGGCAAGCCCGTCTTCGGTTGTATGATTGGTCTGCCCAATATACGCTCGATGCATTGCTCGGTTTTTCTATGCCTCGATCAACCCTGTCTTCTCGGCATGACTGTTGTTTTGCACCGAGTGGCGGCCATGGACAAGATCGAGACTACGGACTCCAGGACGAATAACCATGTCGGGTAAGCGTTGGCCATGCAGTCATTTTCCCCCCGATATTCATGTCTTCCTAAGTCTCGGTATGGCCCTCCCAAGACTTGAATTGTCGAGTTTACCGCCTCTAGGTGAGGTGCGTGATGACGACCCTCGTAGCTGTCATAAAGTTTATTGGCTGACGGTGGAAACAAGGGCACGGGCACGACACGCGGAACAAAGCCACATGGAAGCCCAGAGAGCCTCGGGGCCGATTGATCATACCAAGCTCCATGAATCGCCTCGGCTGTAACCTGTCCTAGGGGTATAATTGTTAACAACTGGATACCCCAGACTCGTCTCAACGCAGATCGTTTGCGATTGATTTCGACTTTTGGTCGTCGACCAAGCTGACTGACCACGTCGCCCATCATGAGTACCGATGCAGACGGCAAGATTGTCGTGGACAATAAGGAGTTTATCAGCCCGCAGGGGAGCGCAGACCTTGCCTTTGATGAAGCTAGTGAGAAGAAGCTCATCCGCAAGATTGACTGGAGGTTGCTACCCATCCTGGGTGCTCTCTACTCGATCGCACTCATTGACCGCACAAACGTAAGCGACCAAGCCTTGGGAAGCAAATACCGTGTTGAAATGTCCACTGACGGTTGCTAGATTTCCAATGCACGAATTGCTGGAATGGGCAAAGACCTCCGCCTCGACATCGGCGACCGATATACCATTGTGCTAGTGTTGTTTTTCCCGACATACTTCCTTCTGGAATTGCCTTCCAACATTGTGCTGCGCAAGGTTGGAAGCGCCAACTGGCTGTCGTTCATCGCCGTGTCATGGGGCGCTGTGATGATAGGGCAGGGCTTTTGCAAGAGCTGGATCTCGCTTGCTATTTGCCGTGTTCTTCTCGGATCCTTCGAAGCGGGCTTCTTCCCTGGTTGCGTCTATCTCATCACGTGCTGGTACAAGCGGTATGAAACACAGAAAAGGTAAAGCCGGCGCCTCCAGCCAACAAAAGGAAATGGAGCAATCGGCTGACAAACATGTAGACTGGGAGGCTTCTATCTCTTTTCAGTCGGTATTGGCGGTCTTGCCAACATCCTTGCGTACGGTTTGATGCAAATGGAAGGTGTTGGAGGTGTCCGCGGGTACGTAAGCGACTTCTTGCTGAGCCAAGCAAGCCGATATGTCACAGTAAGCTGACATTCCAAACCAGGTGGCAATGGATCTTCATCATTGAAGGCATCTTGACGGTCGTCGTGGCCGTGTCAGCATGGTTCATCATTCTCGACTTCCCCGACAAAGCGGAAAAGAAAGGCTTCCTCACGGCGGCCGAAGCAGCGACCGTCATGCAGCGCATTGAGGATGACCGCGGCGACTCGGTTGACGATCCGCTTACATGGAGCAAGTTTTGCTTCCACATCAGGGACATCAAGCTATGGGGCTACGCGACGCTGTTCATGAGCGTCACCATGCCGGCCTACGCCTTTAGCTACTTTCTGCCCGTCATTCTGCTCGGCATGGGCTACAGCGCCGGGCAGGCAAACGCCCTGTCGGCACCACCCAGTTTCGCCGCCATGATCGCCGCATTCGCCTTTGCGTGGCTAGGAGACAAGTATCGCGTTCGCGCGCCCGTCATCGCCGCCCAAGCTATTCTTACCATTGTCGGCCTCATGATTGTCGCGTATGCCCAAAACCACGGCGCACGGTACTTTGGCACGTTCCTTGGTGTCATTGGCTGCCAGGGCAATATCCCTGCGATTCTTGCGTACCAAAGCAATAACATCAGAGGTCAGAGCAAGCGGTCAGTTGGCAGTGCGCTGCAGATTGGGTTTGGAGCCATTGGCGGCATCATTGCGTCGACGACGTTCAAGCAAAAGGAGGCGCCGAGGTACTTTACCGGGCTGTGGGTCACGGCTGGACTGCAGTTCTACATTCTGGCTGTCTTGTGCTGCTTTACCGTGTACTTTGTCAGGAAGAACAGACGGGTTGACCAGCAGAGAGCGAATGGTGAGCCCATGGATGAGATCGAGGGCATGGCCGGCTTCAAATTCACTGTCTAGGTAGAAGCATGCAAGAGTTTGTGTTTTTCCGGCCGAGTTGCTCGATTCTATTCGTTGGTGTGTTGTTGCTCCGTGTTTGCGGGCGCGTGAATGATGGCGTCGCCACGGTGCGCACCATGTAGGGGGCGCCAACATCAAACACTGTGTGTAGAAGTCTGCAGCTGGGCGCCAAAACTGGAATTCATCGAGCAAGCCCGTCGATATCCTGCTGTCCAATTACAAAAACCGGCTGGGATGGATAGTGCAGGTTTCCAGACAGGAGCAAGGGTAGACTTTGTTTGGAACCGCACAAGACTGGCGCATAGACACGACGTGCGCGTCGGGAATATGCCGTTGCAACAGCCCGCCAGACGCATGACTAGAGGAACACACATAGACCAGCGCAACGACGAGACTCGTGCCAGATGTTATGCCGCCACGGCCACGAGCACGGGAACGCCGTGGGGATCGTGGCATAGACGTAGATCAGATCTCGCGCCTTGCCCAAAGCGGCTAAGCCTGACACTGCCCGACTATGCGTGTCGCATCTTGGCCCCATGTCGCTGTCTCAGCTGCGGATGGCAGCGCCTCAGTCAGCAACACGAGATGCATCAGCCTGTCTCCCTGCAGCCTTGCCTTCCGCTTAATTGCTTGTTTTTTCCACCTTGTACCGCTGGCCACGAAACCTCACTCCCTCACCTGTTTCTTCCCGCACTGCAAATAGTAATCGTAGTCGTTCATCTTGAGCCAGCCGCCCTCGTCCACCGTCATCAGCACACCCAGGCCCACACGACTTTCATATTTCGGGTTTTCTATTTCTCTTTCAGCTTAGCCAGCGCCTCTAATCCACGTCGCTTCGACGAGGCGCAGTTAGCTCGGGAATTAATCAAGTGCGCCTGGCCCAGCAGCATCATCATCATCATCACACGTCTCAATTCCCTATCCACCACCCACCATGAGCGCCAAACACCACCTACACGTTGCAAGCCAGATTCCGCGACACATGCACCCCAGCCAGGTCATTGCCGCGCTGCACAACCACGAAACAGCCCTCACCCTGCAAGCCCTGACTTGCGGGCACGAGAAGGCGGCGTCGACAGCCTCGGAAACGCTCAAAGACACATACTGGTACCCCCCCGACCAGTACCCCATTACCACCTACAACGTCACCGAATGCATCACCTGGTGCCCGGGCATCGGCGAGTACGGCAAAAAATACATCAAGTTCCCGAGCTGTTTCCAGGACACGCGCCACGGCATCAAGACACGAGCGGATGCTGCTGCGGGCGTGACGGTGCGCGCCGAGTTCCGCGTTGTGGCCAGCGGCGAGGCGGGCAGCGAGGTCGTCGGCGAGGGCATGGGCGTCGGCGACGCCCCGTGGGTGCTCGTCGAAGACGTCGAGGTCGCTTGCTCGTGGTTGCTGATGCCGTTTGTCAAGGGCAAAATGGAAGAGGCGCACCGCGATGTATGTCGCAAAGTGATTGAGCGAGTGGAGCAGCAAATGAAGGCGCTGAGTATGCCCGGTGTTGGCAGCGCAGCGTTCGAAGCCATCAAGAGACAGGACAGCAAGGCCGACAGCATCGAGAACATCAACACGGGATTTGCCCAGGAGACAAGAGAGCACTATGCTAAGCCCCGATCTCAGGCCCATCAGCCTGTTGCTCGGCCCGCAGTGCCAGTACTAGCAGAAATCGAGGCCGTCGACTCGCAACGCACAGAAATGCCTGCTACCCCGTTGCCCGACAAAATCACCTACCGATGATACAGGGACAGCAAAACGAAAAAAAAAACTCAAAAGAATGCAAACAGAAACAGAAATAATATGTAATGATCTCATAGACGGATGAATAAACACAACCACTTTTCTACACCAACATCATATCAGACCTCGATCTTTTCTTTTCTTTTTTTCTAGAATAACTTTAACTGCATAATGACAACACACACACACCATGACCATGCATCCGTTCATTGCCTCAGTTCAACACACTACTTTCCCTTGCACACGCACACGCACACGCACACGCGCAAGGCGAAACGGCATGAGACACGATGCTCAGTGCATTTCCAATTTCTCGGGCTTCCATGGTCCCTGCATTTTCCCTTTCTTTCGTTCCCATTTTTTTTTCTTCTTTTTTTTTTGGCGGTGTCGGCCGCGCTTGTTTCATCCGGCTCATCTGCCAAAAGCGACATGTCACATGTGTCATGTTCTGGGGCCCTCCTTGTTTGTAAGTCAGTAAGTAAGTAAGTAGTGTAGACTGGCCCCCGCCCTTTTGTGTTGCAGCGTGCAGCGGTATTTGCACCCCCCCCTTTTTCTTTTTTATTTGGCTCCTTGGGCTGTGGGCTGGTGGAGGCGCGGACTTGGGCTGTGGGGGAAGCGGACTTGTGCTTGTGGAATTTCAGAGAATGTGTGGGTGAAGTGGTTTTGTGCAAATGCATGCATGCATGCATGGAACTGCTACTTATGATATCCAGCGACCTCGAATACACGGGATGAAAAAAAAATGAAAGAAGAAAAACTAACATCCCACGTCATTATTATTTTCCCTCCCATTCTATAAATTTACAAAGTTTCACACACACAAGCCCTTTTCGGACTTTCCCGCTCTAAGTACTTAGCGATTCCGTATCCTACTCGTACTCTTCTCCCCTGCAACCCACTCATACAGCGCCATGGGAAACGCCGCGTCGTCGTCGCTCCAAAACCCCTTTCCAGCAACGCCTCGGCGGCGGTAATGCCGTGCCAAGCCTGTTTTCACCACGCGCTCGACCTGCGTGCGCTCTGCGCTGCGCCGCGGCCATTTCTCTAGCAGCGCGTCGAAATCGTCGCCGAGAAGGTACCGCACTGGGGTTTTCGCAGCTACAAGCAGTTGCTCGTAGGCTTCTAGCGTGAGGAAAGGCGAGTATACGAGTGTCGAGGGATTGAGTATGGATGCGGCTTCGCCCAGCGAGGAGCCCGATGGTGTGTGTAGAATGTGTATGTTTAGACTACGAAGCAACGTCTCGTCGTGGCGTGTAAATGTGGGGTCTTGGGCGTACAGCTGGATGCATGTGCCTGAGATTTCTTGGATTGAGGCGCGGAGGGCGAGCAGTAAGGCGAGTTGTTTGAGTCGTCGTGTTTGGCCTTTTGTTACGACGAGGCTGCCTAGCCCGAGGGAGAGGATGCGTGTGATGGGGGTTGGGGCTGTCTTCATCATTGCTTGTAGTCGTGTGGTTATGGTTTGTGAGAGCTGGGATGTAGCGTATAGCGTTTTGTATTCTTCGAGTTGCTCTGAGAGACCATGGATGCTGCGGTTCGCTGTGCTCTTTTTGCTGCTGGGTTTGGCCCGTAATGGTAATCGGGGCTCTGCATTGTCTGAGGTTGCGTGTGGCATGGCGAGATGAACTTTATTAGTGCTTGTTTAGTGATAAAACAAACACTCTTGCACGGAAATAGTATAGGATCCCGATTGGTGATGGGATAGTGTATGCGGAAAAGGTAGCGGGATGTTATCACGGTGTTTCTGGTGGACTTTTGGATTTACTATTGATACACTTTATTTTTTGCAACGGCAATTGACTTATATACCAGTTTCTTTGCATCATGTGTCAGTTCCAAAAGTGTAACGGGTTTGGACATTTCACTGTGTTGCTTGCTGTGCTGATGCTGGTCAGCATTGACTCTCCAGGCTGAATAATGGTTCTGCTGAGAAATCAGACGTTCTTGTCTGGGTTTGAGGTGCCCTGCACCAGCCAGCCTGAGACTGAATGAGTCAAAGTTTATTCAAGGGTATGTTTGTAGGACTGCCAAGTGCCCGAGATGATGAAATATACGCGCATAGCTGCTGAGAGAAGAATAGTTCAAAAGGGAGTGTTCAAGTCGACGAGATAGGCGCTAACCTCTTATGGGTAAGGTTCGTTTTTCGTCCAGGGCATGTCAACGGCTCTCCTCTCTTCTGCCTACATTGCCATAAACTCCGAAAAAAGAAAACTAAAAATTTACTCGTTCTCGGTTACGAACAGTAGGGTAGGCCGAAACGTTCTCTCCTTTTCACTGGTACCCAAGAAGACTTTGTAAACTTCAACACCACAACCCCTGCTCCGACCCCCTGGTACCTTCAAACACCTCAACTCCAGTTCACCACCACAACAGCTCTACAATTATTTCAGGTTCTCAATGTAAAAGCTGCAAGGCTTTCCATCGCGCCAAACAGCGCGGATGTTCAGTGTCGCGTCAATGTCCTCAAGTACATTGCCTTCAACAAGTAGCATATCGGCATTCAAGCCCTCAGCTAACCGACCGCGGTCCTCAAACTTGAAGCGCTTCGCAACCAGACTCGTAGCAGAGCGAAGAGCCTCCACCGGCGTCATTCCCACCTTGTGCACGTAAATGTGAAGTTCGTGGTGCATGGAGAGGCCAAAGGCAGTGCCGACTGCGGGGCCAGCCGAGTCACTTCCACTATGGATAGTCAGTCATCGTAACTTGGAACCTCTTTGAGCACGAGCAGATTACGTACCACAAGATGTCGATGCCTGCATCCTTGAGCATCTTTACTCCCTGATAAGCATACTCAACTTTTCCATTCTCCGCGCAAAATCCCATGCATTTGCACATGTTCCCCACGCGGTCTTCGTTAATCATCCCCTTTACTCTTGGGTCATGCGCGAATTGATGCTGCAACTCCTTTCCTTCGGTTGTCAAGCTACCCATTGTAGCAAGCGTTGGGTTCACCCAGGCGTTATTCTTCTTGTACGCTTCAATAACCTCTTGGGTGGGCGGCTGGTCGCAAAAGGTGTGTGTCAGACCATGCACGCCCGCGTTGAGGACATCAATCGTGTCCTTGAGACATGTGGCATGGGCAACCGTCAGATAGCCTCGCTTCTTTGCCTCTTCGATGATGATGCTTTGCAGTTCGAGAGAAGGATAGGTGAACTTCTGCCCCATTGCGGTGCCACTCTCGTGCATCAGCTTGATGTAATCGGGCTGCATCTCTTTCTTTGTCCATTCCAGGTACTCAATGACGCTGTTGCGGTCCGTCAGCTTTGGCCACTCTGCGATGGCAGCAGCAGTCTCTTCGCTCTTGTCGTGAGCGGTAATGACTGGAATTGGCCATCCGTTTTCGATTGTAGCAGCTTGGCCTGCTGTCTTGTAAGATGCCGTGTCTGGCTGTAGAGTCTGCTTCTTGAGTGTTTTGATGTTGTGAATCTCATTATGCATCTCGCACACGGTCGTGACTCCGAATCTCAGAGATTGTGGCAGTGCTTCGGGGTCAGCTCTATCGGCGTGGATATGGCAGTCGATCAGACCAGGGAGAAGGGTGTGTCCTGGCTTTGAATACGCTGTTACTGATTCCTGTGGCATGCTGCTCATTGGTCCGACAGATTTGATCTTGCCATCTTGGACATGAACATATCCCTCGTCGATCTTGTCTTCGCCAGTAAAGATTCGGACATCGCGAATGATGAAAGTAGTCGTCATTGCTGATTGATGGGCAAATGGAATTCAGTTCTGTTTTGATGTCTATTGCTGATGAGTGATCCAACAGTGCGAAAGTAGAGAAGCAAGAGATGTAGAATCCCCTGCCCCAAGCTATTTATGCGGGGCACAAGAAATACATAGCCCTGGCTGGTTCCGAGTCCCCACCCAATTACAGTGCCCGTGCACCAGATGAGCACCATCGCCAGTTGAGCACCCCCAACAACTCAATATAGTCAACAAGATGAGGCTGTAGAGCCACCACAAATCGTAATAAAATTGCGCAAAGCTAGGATTATACTATATACAGGCCTACGAAAGTTTTGGCTTATTCAGAAATTTTTTTGGAGGGCGTTATCGGTCGTTGCCGTCGACTACGCGGTGGAGCAGCTCGTGCAACCCTTGCGGCTCCCACCACAGCTGGAGCAACACCACCACACTTTTGACGCTTTGTAGCTGGCTTATGAGGTTTTGACGCTTTGCGCTTACCTGATTGGGGCAATTGTATAGCTTTGGCAGCGTCGCGGAGGCTTCTACGATGCTCTCTTTCGGCTTTCTCTGCAGCCTTCCGCTTTCTGGTCTCCTCCCAACCCTTCTCCCGCTCAACACGGGCTGCTTTTTGAAGTTGAAGCTAGCAATCACGAGCTGCCTTCTTAATCTCGGCTTGCTCGCTTTTTGAAGCTTTTCAAGCTCGGCTTGTTGTTGTGTATATCTTGTTATCCTGAACTCGTTTGA